CTCTCTCCGCCTCGTAATCGGGAGGCTCTTGAGCGATCGTGCAAGCAGCGGCCGTTGCCTCCCCGCCCCTCCCGGTGACCGGGCCTGACGAGCCAGGACACGGTCCCCGCAGACCCAGCCTGACGCTCCCCAGCCTCGTGCCCCCATCACGGAGTCTGCCGAGTTAAACGGACAACGCCGACTTCCACCTCTTCCTCACGCCTCCGGAAGAATCCTGAACACTCAGGTTACAGGTCCCAAGCTCTACGGGCGTCCTTCACGCGGCCCGGAGCGGACGCTCCCCGCGAGGCCACGTCCCCTCGACCTCCTCACCTCCTCTGTGGCGGGATCTCCGCTCCGCTCCACCCACTCGGGACGGGAGTCCGGTCCTCCCAGGGTCCGCACGCCACCCGCGCCCGTGAACTCGTCAAGGGCACGCTCCGTGCCCACAAAGAGGAGTCCTGAGCAGAAGCGCGTCCCCGGGCCTCCCTGTACCGGGAGCCCTCCCCGCGGCCCTGCTGTCCCTCCGGAGGCAGGGGCTGCCGTGTGTCCGTCTGCCGCAGCCCCGTGACAGCCATAAGCTCTTCTCGGGGACAAACCCGCTTGCCTTGTTTTCACTATTGTCCCCCCGGGGCCAAAATGGCGCCTCTAAATAAATGTTTGCTGGGGTGCCTGGGTGGCTCAGTCGGTTAAACGTCCAGCTCTTGGTTTCGGGCCAGGTCACGATCTCATGGTTTGTGAGTTCGAGCCCCATGTCAGGCTCTGTGCTGACAGTCAGAGCCTGCTTGGGATTCTCTCTGCCCCCCACCTCTGCCCCTCCCTGCTCGCTTGCTCTCTCAAAATAAACATTTACAAATAAACAAACACACGTTTGCCGAGCGGATGAAGGAAATGCCTGCACTTACCAGAGACCATCGTAGCTGCTTGACACGATCAAGGATCCATCCCGGTTAAAATGGACCTGAGAACAGAGTGGGGGGAAAAGCACATTTACTCGTAAGTCACGAACACACACTGCGCTCCGCTCGCGAGCGCCCTGCACGAGTGCGCGGGCATCTTGCCGAGCGCGGAGCAAACAACGGAACCCCCGTTCGCTTCGAATTCTGATTTCCTGTGGACGCTGACGGACACATGAGCTGCGCGGACAAGGTGACTTTACCTGCGTGTCCAGCAACAGTGCCCCGGTCTCACCACGGAGGACCCAACTTTGAAAGAAACCCCGCCGGAAACACGGGTCGAGTAGCTAAATCGCTTACTGCAAAAGGTGCCCTTGAAAAGACACAAGCTCGACTAAGTGACCCGGACCCGGATCCGGACCCGGAGACAGGCCCAGCCTGTGAGAGCCGGCATGTCCACCACTACCGTGGGGCGGCCTGACCCGGGCGACCAGCTGGAAACCACTTGCCCTGACCTCACGTCAGAGAGAAAAGCCGGAGAGAAAAACCCACTCGCTGGGTAGGTACCACAGGAACGCCCTCCGCTGCCCGCGGCAAGGACCAGGAAGCCCGGACGCCCGAGCCTCAGGACAGCGGTGACCCCGTATTTGCTGGTCCTGGGAGCTGACCGGCCTCCAGCACCCCACACCTTGTGTCACCCGAATGCCTAACTCCGCCCACCCCGGGGCAGCGACTTCACGGAAAGAAACGGCAACCTGACAAGTCCCTGTCTGATGACTGCTTGGTATTTGTGCTTTTTTTCCTGCTTTCCTCCAGCTGAATCCTGGTGGGACTAAAGGACCCACAGTGTCAGGAGTTCACACCTTTCTGAGGCAATCCCGCTTCCTGCTACCTGAGATAGGCTTTCTACATAAAACAGAGCCGCACAACGGGCCGTGTGCCCCCACCCCCACCCCCCCCACCCCGCCATGCCGTGCGGAGTGGCGCCCCCACCTGGCACCACCGCCCTGCCCGCCAGGACTCTCCTGCTCCGGGCCCGCCCCCCGGTGGCCACACTCTGCCCTTGACTCACAAGATGCCAGCATCTCGGCGTCTAGTTGTGACGACCAGAACAATCTCCAGACTCTGCGGGACACCCCCTGGGGGCGAGCCCACGTGCCCCAGGAGCACCTGAGAGCTTGGGGAACAAAGTACCGACCCAGGAGCCAGGCTGACACTCTCAGCGGCTGCCGACGACCCTCGGCCTCCGCTGAGGAGCCCCGCCGCCACGCGGACACTTTGATGCTCCGGCAGCTGCAGCGGGAAAGTAACAGGTGAAATGAACTCGGTTTTACTGAACTCAAAGTACCTAAGGTGTCCCCTCGGCACGCGCCCGGTACCGAAAGGCACCAGCAAGCGCGTCCCGTTCCCTTCGTTCGCACCAAATCTTCGAAGGCGGAGAGCGTAGCTCATCACGGCGAGACCTGATCTGGGCTCGCCGCAGGACTGCCACATGCGGCGGTGGCCTCTGCGCTGGCCCGCGCAGCCCTGTGAGGCCTCCGGACACCCGGGAGGATGTTCTGTTTTCGTTCCGCTCCTACCAGGAGCTCCACGTGACCGTAACCACCTGCTCGCGAGCCCCTCACTTTAAAACTCACAGCAATCTAACCACGTTTGTCCCTGTCTTTGGATTCACAGAACATTCTACCAAGACCCGCCAGACCAGACACGGACGAGCTGACACGGGTCCCCGAGAGCTGCAGCACCAGCCTTGCGCTCTGCGTCGTTCCCAACCGCATCCAGGCACCCTGGACATCCCCGCGTCGAAACGTAAGCACCACGAAAACGCGAGAGAGGCGACAAGTCAGTACCTAACGGGGATGCCACGGCTCCTCTGAGGTGACCATCCATCAGAACTCTCTGCGGAGGGGACCCCCGGCAGACAGGTGAGCTCATACAGAAGCGGGGGGGGGGGGGGGCAGGAAACAGGCTGAATGCAAGGAAAACCCAGGGCGTCGTCCAGTCGAGAGGGCACGGCGGCCAGACCCGAGCGGGAGGGCGTGCGGGGACAGGGAGCTGGCAGACAGGGCCGTGCCTGCAGCGTGAGGCTGCCAGCTCCCCCCACATCTGTGGGAAACCACGTGTGCCTCTTTCACACGGGGTCTCGAGTTCTCCCTGCAGGAACCGTCACACAAGCGTGCGGAGCGGTTCCAACATGCCCACCGCACTCCTCGTCGAGTGCGAGTCGCAAGTGCCTGCGGGGAGTGCCCGCTGCCCACAAGGTGCCCCGGTGCCCGAGGTCCCAGGGTCCGGGCACAGACGCCACAGACGCCCGAGGAACCTTTCCAAGCGGACGGACAGCCGCGGCACGGGGCATCCTCACCACTACTTGAGGGAACGTGTTGGAAAATATGTATTTAAAAAGCCAAAACGCCACAGAGGGCAGGGAAGCCGTGAGCGGTTGGTCCTGGAGGGCGGGTGCTCCGGAGACTCTGATTTTCTAGTTGCTGCCTTTCTTTGCCTTTCTTTCTTTTCAAATGAGTACTCCTCATTCTGGTAGGAAGCAAAAACTTCACAAACCCCACGGCGGTCTAAGCTATGGGTCCCACCCGCAGCCCCCGCCACCACCAAATCGCAGACAGTACTGGCCGTCGCGACAACTCATCTCCCGGTTCCTTCCCTCGGTCGCGGCGGGGCCGGTCTCAGAATCTGCGCTCCCCGCACTGAGTCCACAGAGGCGGGCGGAGCTCGGGCCTGCCCGGCCGCGCGTCCGTGGCGGAACCCCTGAGCCCCAGGCGTTGGCCGGGCGTCCTCGAGGCCACCGCCGGCAGCACCCGTGTGTCTTCTACGTGTCGGGGCCCTGTGAGTGGTCTCAGTTGGGCAAAACAGCCCTTCGAGGCGGAACATGCTTTAAAAGCACTCACCTACACGATTTCAGAAAGTGAAAAGGACCATCTGCTCAGTAAAAAGCAGCACACTGTTTACACGATTCCTTCCCCTTTCCAGAAAAAGGCAAACTTGGCCAAGAAGCAGCTCCCGGCTCTTTGCTGACAAAGAAAGGAATTGTGTGGCCGTTTTCAAGTGCCGTGGTTTGTGAGCGGGTGTGCCTTTGGCTCTGCACGTTCCCCTGCCCCGAGGTACACACAAGCACAGCCAGAGCGCACGCGGGGCCCCACCTCCTCCACCACCGCCCCACCGAAGCCAACTCCACTCAACACTCACTTCTCCACGGCCACGGCCACGCTTCCCAGCGCACGGCCCCTCTTCGGGCCTGGCCGCCCGGTCTGGGGTTCAGTTCGGGGCCGCCTCACCCGGCCCCTCGCCTGCCTGTCCTACGGGCCCAGGACAGGGAGACCTCTCTCGGGGTCGCCAGTGCCCACTCTCTGGCCGTCACCCCGGTCCTGCTGCGCGGGGTCCGCAGCCCGGTGGGACTTACAGCTGAGACGGGGTCCGAGTGGGCAGGCAGAGTCTTCAGGCACTTTCCGGTTTTCACGTCCCATATCCTCACGCTTTCGTCAAACTGAAGACCAGAGAAGAGGTTGAAGCCGCTCCACGGGCAGGGAGCAGGTCCTCTGGACCCCAAGCCCTGCCACCACCGTCCCCTCGGCCCCCAGCACTGACGACTCGAGGCTCCACTCGGAGCCCCGGGCTACAGTCAGGCGCACCCCACCCCCACCCGGAGGCGCCACACTTACAGAGCCCGAGACGATGAGGTTGGACTGGGGGTTGAAGTTACAGCAAAAGACGTAGTTACTGTGCCCCTTCAGGGTTTTCAGACACTTTCCCTAAAAGCAAGTATTGTCGGACTAAGGCATTCCAGGTGCTTATTTCTGCAAATGTCAGCATCGGCGCCCACCAGCACCTAGGCAGAGGCAGCCTGAGGGCACATCCTGCAAGGGGCGGGGGACACCCCCTTGACCAAGACGGGCTGGGTCCCAGACTCAACTCCAGCTCCCGCACCGTGCCCTTCTCCACACACACCAGCTTCCCAGGGAGGGAGGCCGAGGGCGGCTTACCGAGCTCACGTCCCATATCTTTAGGGTTTTATCATCCGAGGCGGAAACAAGGAGGTTAGAATCTGAAGACCAGGCCACATCGGATATTCCCTGGGGAGCGAAAACACAGGGTCACCACCTTGACGGACAAAATACAGTTAACCAGCAAAAATCAGAACATCCACCTAAAGATAACTAAGCGCATCACCCCAGCATCCCAACCCTCGAGCTACCACTGGCCACACGGACGGAAGGCCACACGGGGCCCACAGGACAAGCGTGTTCTCTTGCAGTCAGGCAGAGACTCGTCTGGGAAGGGCAAGAGTGTCTGCTCAAAAAACAAGAGGCAGAGAACTATCAAAAACTCGGGGGGAAGAAGCTTCCACTTTAACCTGCCGAGCCCCAGGGACGGGCCCCACCCCCGGGACCGCTGGCCCTGCCCCAGCGGGAAGTCAGTCTCGGCATACGGGGTGCACACCTACCAGCTTGTGGCCAGATATGGTTTTCTCAAACTTTCCGTCATATGCTCCCCAAATTTTAATGAGCTTATCAGCGGCTGAAAGAAAGGAAGACAAAGGAACTGAGCTGGTCCAGTCATCCCGAGTACAGAATCTGGGCTTCCCACAAGAGCCCCGGGAAACAGCACGAACCCCTCAGGAGCCCTGCACGTGCCCCGTGCACGGGGACAGGCAGCGCTGTGGCACAGCTGCCCGTGCCCTGCCCTCTCCCCCAGGCCCCTGTCACTTCAGGGTGGCAACGGGCTCCGGGTACAGCGGGGGGCACACGGCTTGCTGCAATGCCCCAGGGGAGGCGTCCCCAGCTTCCGGTCTCGGCCCAGACGGACTCCCGAGCGCCGAGGCCCCGGTGATTGATAGATACGTACACGAACTCGCCAGCCACTCGCCGTTCGGGCTGAATTTCACGGAGGACACGGCTTTCGTGTGGCCAGCCAGGGTGAATTTCAGGGCATAGTTTGGTTTAACAGGAGTGGGCTGTTGAAGAGACAATCCTAGTCATCAAACAGTTAACCGCTGTGACCCCCCCCTATTCTGAGCTCCACGTCCGTACTCCAAGTGCCTGCTAGAACTCTCTGGAAGTCACCTTTCAAACTGAACGTGTTTCAACCTGAGCTCACGACGTCCCCTCAGCCGCCCCTCACCCACCCCAAAGCGGCCCGAAGCCCCCTGCCACTGCCGCGCCACGGAGGCGCAGCAGGTGCAGCCTCCCGCGAGGCAAACCTCAAGGCTGCAGCCTTGCGTAAAGGCTTCTGCGCGCTGCCTGGTGTCCACAGGAGGGGTCTGCGAACCCGCCCTGGCGTCAGGACCGTGGAGCCAGGCAGGGCGCTTAGTAAGAGGCTCTGTGGGCCCTGAACAGAATCTTACGATCAGGACCGAGGATCCACGTTATTGATAAAGCCCCTTCCCAGGGGACAGGTCTGGGGATCCTCGACTCGGCAAACAAGCACTCGATTAGGTCTATGGTCAGCGACCAAAACCCCAGGATCTAACTGAGAGGGGACAGCAGACTTTGAAGTAACATCTCCAAGGCGCGTCCCAGCCTGTGCGCCCCTGGCACTTCCCCGGGAGCCCTCAGGGACGCGCCTTGCTCTGCGTGGCCGAGGAGGAAGGGGTGGGCTGTGCTCTGGCCGCCTCCGTCTCTGGCTTCTTCTCCTCCGTTGCCATGGCTCTGAAGCCCACCGGGCAGAGAGACGCGAGCAGGGGAGTTCACGGCTCCAAGCGCAGACTCACAGTGGGAAGAGCCGCCTGCTACTCAAAACCTACAGTGGGAGACTAAGGCCCATAAACAAAGCACATTGTGAAAAAGTAACTCCCAGAGAAAAGGATAAAAACCTTTTGACCATCTCACCGAGCCCTGTAGCAGACGCGCAGTTCCCAAACGAGGAAGCCAGCGGTGGCCCTCGCTCTGCGCTAACGCTTCTCAGAGGCTAACAAACGCTTCTCAGAGGTGGACGCCCTGCCCCAGGCCCTTTTGTGATCGCAATCCAAGGCCCCAGCTTCAAGGGTGCCCCCTACTGTTACCCGGGTCCGTAGGAATGCGGCCCAGTCCAGGCAAACAAAATGCAATTTTTTTCAAAGAGCCCTTGAAACGGTAGAAAAACAAACCCACCCAAATTACAGGAGACCGAGCTGCAGGGTGTAGAAATTTGGGAACGCGTCCAAATGCTCACAAGGGCCGCGGCAGGGTTAAGTGCCGTATTTGAAAACACACAAGAGCAGCCCCCCGCGGGTCCTCGCCTCCCCGGGGGGGGCTTCTGGGCCTCTGGGTGCCGGGCGCAGACTCGAAGCCTGCCTCCAGGATGCCCACAGCGCAAAAGGCACGCTGTCCCTGGTGAGGGGACCGCAAGACCCCGCCGGGAAGCGTAAGCCAGAGCCAGCCCTGCCTGACTGCAGAGGCCCGAAGTGCACCCAGACGCGCTGCAAGCCAGCCCACGCTGCAGCTCAATTAGGTCTCAGCGTGACAATGGAACCACCCGGGCCGTACGGCAGGCGACTCGTTTGCTCCATCACGGGAACAGACCCCGTCCCCAGCCTGCATGCGTCTCACAGAAGCGCACCTGGCGATTCCAAGACCAGGGAAGACGTTATTCAAGAGGGGAGCCACCAAGACATCCTCGCAGACGAGCCTGCCCTGCCGTCCGTCTAAGCATTTACGCGTCGTCGTCTAAATTCTAGCACTGACAACTGAAGGCTTGCCTGACTGCTCGGCACACCAAGGCAAAATGGAAGCCACCGAAAAAGAGCACGTCTCAAAGTCTTCGTCCCAGAGGAGGGCAGAGAAATTACAAGGCAACACAGCTGAGCAGAGCACAGATGCGGCCACCAACGGTTACCTGTAGCAAGGCCTGGGGCTCACACCGAAGGATGGATGGTGCTGCGCCCAAAGCCCAAGGACCAGAGTGGGGGAGGGGCAGGTGCCACAAACGCGCTCAGGAACCGAGTGCTGGCACCAAGCTGGTGCTCAGTAAACGCTAGCTACTTGGTGATTAAATTTAGAGCAACCTGGCCGTGCCAGCTAATCCGAGTGCTGCCTTCCTTTAGGTGGGATGGACAAGTGGGGGAGGGGGGAAGCTAAGGAAGAGAGCTGCCGAGACTTTGCCCAAACCTAGCGTCTGAAGAAGGTACCAGCAAGGGCTAAAAGAGGCGTGGGGAAGAGAGGGCACTGAGAACCAGCAGGGAGACGCTAAGAAGCTTCCTCTAGGGTAAACGGGGCAGCTCGAGGAGCCCCGACCTGCTCCTTTTAACATAAAAATTGAGACCCACCAGGAGGTGGGGCGTGAGTCCAGCAAACTGCCCGCCCTCTGGTGAGGCGTGAGGACCGGAGGATACAATACCTAATCTTACAGAAAAGGTGCCCAACCCCTCCCTGCTCTGGCCCCATCCACCGATCCCTTGGGCTAGCAAAACATTACCACGCAAAAAAATCAGGGGGGCCTCTAAGAATCCAATTTCCGGACTCAACGCCCCAGGTTTCCATTTAAGAGGGGGGCAGGGCCTCGCATTTTCCATAAGCCCTCAGGTTGACTCCGTGGAAGCACCGGGGAGGTTGGTTAGGGACTAGCTCGTAAGGAGAGTCGGAGAAGGTGAAGGCAATCAGGCTTGCAGGGAAGGCGGATCAGAGCCCACCTCCAGAGCACGGTGTCGCCTGCCCCCTCTTCCCACCCACAGGTCTCTTACCCTGATGAGCCGGACCACCCAAGGCTGAGCCTCCCAAACTTAAGTGCTCTCCTGACCTGCTCGTGAAATGCACATTCCCGGATTCCACCCCAGAGAAGGGGCCCACAGGTGAGGTAATTTGGTGACTCACAGGTGGCCGGACCAAGAGTGGGGGAATCCGATACGACTTCCCCCCCCCCCCACCTGTTCTGCAACCTGTTCGCATTCTAGCTTCCCTGTCTGTCTCCTGCGGGGCCGGGCCAACCTCCCAGGCAGCGTCTAGCACGGCACCTGACAGAGTGTCTGAAGGCCCCGGTAAACGGACCTGGGAAGGTAGAAACTGGCACGAGAAGGCTAGTAGGGAGCGCCTCTGCCATCACTCAAGATGGCTCTGGCGCACCAGAATGGAAGTGGTCCGAGGCTCTACAGCAGGAGCCGGGGTCTCTCCCCACAGCCGGGGAGCCCGGGTTCTCGGGGGAGAGGCTGAGGGTGAGCAACAGGGGGAGGGGGCGTTTCTGCAGAAGAGGAGAGCGTCACGGGTCCGCGCGCCACGTCCAGGTACCCGTCGGTGGGTCTGGGGTCTTTCTTTGCAGCAGCGGAGAGCAGGGGAGACGCGAGCTGGTTGCAGAAATAAGTCCCAGTCCCCGGGCTGAGGGCTTGTCACCTGGCCGCTGGGGGAGGGGGCCCTGGGGAGTGGCCACTCGGGTGAGCGCCGGGGGTCCCCGGGAGGCGCAGGGGGGCCGTGAGGACACGTTTAGGGAGGGGGGGACGGAAGCTGAGTGCGGGAAGGGGGCCGCCCCCGGGGGACGGGGCTCGACGCGGGGGCGCAGAGCGGGCACCCGGAAGGGAGGCGGTGGGGGCGCCGGGCGCCTGCACAGAGAGGGCCCCGGCGGGGCTGGGCCAGGACCGGGGCCCAACCCGCCGGAACACGTGCGGCGGCGGGGCGACC